CTGGAAGTGAGGGGAAGAGAGTAGTAGTGTCCTTCTTGTGTTTTTTGTTGCCAACAGCCTAGTAGGTCCTGGCACAGAGGAAATGGAAAAGGGATTAGCTCCTTCCCCAGCCTCCTGGTAATGGTTTCCTGCCCTGCAGAGTATGCATGTGCTGTTTTCCTGGCTGCCTCACTTTGCCATGCGTGACTTAGTCATTCCTGTGAGTTACCTAGTACTTCTCATTTGGGGCAACGAACAAGAGACAGCATGGAAAGGAGGAGGAAGGATTTGATGGAGGGAAAAGCTCTCTAAGGTTAAAGGCCGGAGGAGTCCAGCCAGCACTCCACTCTTGCATGTGGCAGCCAAAAGCATCTGAATGAATACAAAGCTGGAGTTGTGTTTCCGTGGACTAGCTGAGGCCACAAAGGGATGGCAGCTTTTCAAAGTGGCACACAGGAAATGTTTTTGGAGTGGTGCATGTAGTGAAGCAAGTATTGCACAAAAAGATGCATTGTAAAGATGATGATAATGTGCTTCAGCCCTAGCATCTGTAGGGCTCTTTCATGCCATTTAGCTGCAAGCTTCTTTGCAAGTGTACGCTACACTGAAAGTGTAGTGCTTTTTGTCCTCTGTGGAAGTCCTGTTGACTGTTCGGAGCTAAATCTCTCAGCATATCTAAGTTTAGATACTTAAGCTGAACAACAAGTGGGTATTCATACCTCATACAATGTATGTTTTGGGGGCATTATATCTGGGAAATGAACATCCATATTTTATTCATTGCAGAGTTGTGAAGTATTAAATGGGTTGTAGCCTTTCCTACATCCCTGGATTACATAAGATAAACCTTTGAGTGAACTTGTTTGCCATGGCAGTAAGGTATCCATAGTTTTACTTCAGGATAGGAAAAGTAGAAATAAATTTATGTTTAACTGCCACAGAGATTATGGTTGTTTTATCAATTCTACTGCTCCTTTGGTGGTTAGGACTTGATCACTCCAGCGTAGTTCAGCTGATTTTATTTTATAGACAATGCCAAAAAATGGCAGCCTGTTCCGTGGTGACCCCTGCCTTTCTTAAAGAATCATGGAATTTGGTCAGCTGCTGAAAAATCTTGTTCTGGATACCTATGCAGTCTTCATGAAGTTCAGGAAAATGTTTGCTGAAATATAAATACTGGTAATGGAAAAGACTTGGAACTGCAAGATATGCTAAATTTAGTCATGTGCTATACATCTGTGTTACCAGTTCTAGAATCTGTTAAGTCTTAAATTTCTTACTCTGATGAAGACTTACTGCAACTCTGTCTGAATCCTATCTTTTAGCTGCTTTATCTTTCTTACTTTTATGATCCTGTGAAATACTGTGTTTCCACACTGATCAGGAAGATTGTGCAGATGATATTTCAGTAGAACTTAGTGCTCTTGGATTTGTCTTCTGTGCCTTTGGGGGAGAGTTCTTTATTCCACCTGTCAATAGAGACAGCACTTTTCATCTAAATTATAGCTGCAAGAGGGTGGAGTTGTGGGCTTTAAATAGTTATTCTTCTTTTTCTGTATTTTGCAAGAGGAAAGCTGTCATCTATGTTCACCTTTATTTTATTTAAGTAATGTTATAAATAAGTATAAATTTGGACTACTAGTATGCAAAGTTTTTCTGGCTAACCACTATCCAAGCAGTTAATGGACTTTGTTTTGCCTTATGCCATGAAATGGAAGCTCTACCTTGCTCCCTGTCCTTTATCTTAGTATGGATGAATTGGGGCACATTAGCCTGGTGCTATCCAGGTTTTAACAGTCTTTGTTCAGGATAAAAAGAATTTCAGTCTTTTGTTCATTGGGCCTGTTCTGTGATTTGTATTTGACACCTGATTTTAGAGAACAGTTTGTTATCCTCCTTCGGTGAAACTTCATGCATCCTAGTTCTGTGGATTGCATTATCATCTAGGCTTCGGTGAGTCAAAGAGTGCTGCAGACAGAAGATATCCTGTACTTCCTATGTCTAATATGACATCACTTTAATTACGTTGTTTTGTCAACTCTGGGTAGTAGAGATGGAAATTTTTGCACTCTGAAAGGCAGATGAAGCCAGTGGTTAACCTCCTGTAAACCCTGCTGTTTATGTTTTCTTCTATGAGAAGATATTCCTAGTCTTAAAAGGCATTTTTTTGGGTTTCTGAAGTTCATTGGTGCTTGGTGGTATGTGAATGTATGTATCCTATAAATGTGGGTGTATTGAGGTAACGTTTGGCAGTTTTGCACTTATTAATAGCTTGTAATTTGAGAAAAGAAGAGAATGCATCAATGGTAAATACTACTTTTAAATAAAACATGATTAGGTAGATGAAAGCTTGGAAAGAACTGTTGGTTTACGATGCTGTGTTAAGCCTTCCTATTACGTGTCATATTTTCATTTCATCTTCATCACAAATGCTGTGAAGTATTCTTTTTCATCAGCTGGCTCAGCTGGCTTTCAAGTGAAAACAGGAATACATTAGTTTTCTCCTCAGGAGCTGGTAGATTAGCTTGTCTTCTCATGGATGTTTCTGAAATGGTTAAACCAAACACCATTCAGACTTGAGAGTCTGTTCATTGTATCTTAATAACGTGTCATACTTGAACACCAGTTAGCAGCAACTTAGTGGCAATGGCAAGATAGTGCAGTAGTAACTGGTTTATGCTGTTATGGCTCTCTAATCTCACAGTCCTTTAGTAAGTAAGCTTTAGTCAAGGTATGTCATCTACATTCTGCACTGTGTTTCTGCAAAGGAAATATTTAATCTTTGGAAAACTTAAACTATGAATGAAATATTTTGATGAGGATCTTTCATGGCTTTGACCTGTCCAGGTATTTGGGGTTGAGCGCAGTGTATATAAAATGAGAAGGAAATTAATAAAAATAATATCCAACCCCTCACCAAAAGAATCCTCACCCTGGCCAGTAATGTAAAGAACTTGCCATTTTGTTGTTTGGCTAACTGAGTGCCTAATGTTAGGGCTGGATTGCAAAGTAACTCTTGAGATTTTAACATGGAAAGTCTGACAACCTAAAAATCAGTGAAAACATCTGGAAATTCAAATCCTGGAATAAAACTGGTGCTTGTTGGAGACCCTGGATCCCCTTTGTTTGTTTCATGCAGTCTGCTACTGTCTTCAAAAGCATGAGAAAATAGCTTATGGGATGAATATCCAAGCAGAAGATAGCAGTGCTATCAACTGGGAGGAGAAAAATGGGTGAAGAAAGTTGTCCAGAAGCACAGGATCTGGTTATAGCATAGGAATCTAATTCTCATTATGACAGGTCTGGCTCAATACAAGAATTTAGCATCTAAGGAAGAACAACTTTCTGTATTATGTAATTAGCTTGTCATCCTGAAAAAATTAAGGGTCTGGTTTCCTCCAGTCATTGAAGCTGAGTGAAATTTGTTTTAGTGGGATTCTTGCAGATCTTGTAGGTAATATTGGGTGAATGTAGGAGGACAGAAGTATCCAACCCTCCTTAATCTTCTCGGCCAGTTTGCTCATTCAAGTATTCCTGCTAATGGCTTGAGTAGTGATCCAACCTAGTAAGGCTGGTTCCTTTCTTGTTCTTACTACTTTTAGCCTCTTCTCCCTGTCTTAGCTGTGTGATCTGTTTTTTCTGTGGTGACACAGTATTCTTCTAGGCTTTACATGGCAGCTAGTTGTAAGCTTGCGTATTCAGTTCCAGAAATGTGGGGAAATAATGGATAATTAAATCTAAAGGATCGTTTATAAGTTGGGGAGTACTTTGCTTTGATAAGTAACTAATTGGAAACTGGATGTTACCTTTTATTGTGTTTGCACCTAAGGTAACTAGTCATACAGTGTTTTATCTGCTAAGAACCTCTAATAGAGACTTCAGATATTATTACGAAGGAATAGATAAAAGATCTATTATGCAACTGCACTAGCAATAAAAACCAAGCTATGAGTGTAATCACCGTGCGAAGAACAGGTCTTTCATTAAGTCTTGGTGTTGAGAAGGGAAAGGTGCTTGCGGGGGTAGGGGGTTGTGGGGTTTTTTTGGTTGGTTTGGTTTGGTTTTGGTTGATTCTTTTTGTTTTTAAATTTTTTTTGTTTTCCTCCAGCTTCATGGGATGATAGATTCCCTATCACAACTTTTATCCTGGCCTTCAGCTACTGTCTTTGAAAACTGAGTGTTTGTCCAGTTCTCTGACCTTCATATCAAGAGTATTTTTCATGAAATATCTTTCTGCCTCCTATCCCTAGTAGCTAATAAATCCTCAGTGGTCATATATGTAATCTGGAATTGTAACTCAGATTTTCTAAGGTTCTGACTTCCTGCAGCAATTATTTAGTCCCCACTGGTAGCCTCCTTCAAATTGAAACAGCTACCTGCTACTCCTTACTTTAAGATTTATATAAAAGTTGACAGCTCATGTTCATGACTTTGTGGATCAAAGGCCTGGATTAATATTTAATAAAATAAAATAACCCCCCCTTTTCTTTCATTATGTCATAGTTGATGGAAAGTATGAAGGTGAACTAGGGCTAGTGATTGAGCCAAGTGGCTGGTGACCTTTTTCCCTTTTTTTTTCCTCAGGCTCTTGTCTGATAGAATCACAGAATAGTTTGCGTTGCAAGGGACCTTTAAAGTACATCTAGTCTGACCCCTCCTGCAATGAGTGGGGACATTTTCAACTAGATCAGGTTACTCAGAGCCCCATCCAACCTGAACTCAAATGTTTCCAGGGATGGGGCATCCACAACCTCTCTGGACAACCTGTTCCAGTGTTTTGCCACCCTCATTGTAAAAAATTTCTTCCTTATATCTAATCTAAATCTACCCTCTTCCAGTTTAAAGCCGTTGCCCTTTGTCCTATCACTACATGCCCTTGTAAAAAGTCCCTCCCCAACTTTCCTGTAGTCCCCCTTTAGGTACTGGAAGGCTGCCATAAGGTCTCCCTGGAGCCTTCTCTTCTCCAGGCTGAAGAACCCCAACTCTCTCAGCCTGTCTTCATAGCCGAGGTGCCCCAGCCCTCTGATCATCTTTGTGGCCTCCTCTGGACTCTCTCCAACTGGTCCGTGTCCTTCTTGTGTTGGGGGCCCCAGAGCTGAAAGCAGTACCTCCTGGTGGGGTCTCATGAGAGTGGAGTAGAGGGCAAAAATCAGCTCCCTTGACCTGCTGGTTATGATTCCTTTGATGCAGCCCAGGATATGGTTGGCTTTCTTTGCCATTTCTTTGCCAACATTGCCGGCTCATGTTGAGCTTCTTGTCAGCCAGTACCCCCCAGTCTTTCTCTGCAGGGCTGCTCTGAATGTCTTCATCCCTCAGCCTGTAGTGATACCGAGGTAGCCCTGACCCATGTGCAGGACCTTGCACTTGGCGTTGTTGAACCTCATGAAGTTCACATGGGCCTGCTTCTTGGGCATCCCATCCCTTGGGCCTGATATCAAGGCTTCATAGAGTGGTACAAGAAGTGGAAAAAAAAGAATCATAGGCAACAGGAATTAATTTACAGCTTTGGGGAACTAGCGATTGGGACTGTACTCCAAACACTCAAGAAGTAGGAGCAGTTCCAACAGAATGAGAGAGAAGTCTTCCAGGAAGAAACACACCACAATGCACAGGAAGGGGCAGTGTTTTAACAGCTGTTACTGAATAGCTGTTTTGAGGCACACACAAAACATATTAGCTTTTTTGTCTCCACAGCTGGACTCTGCTTCTGAATTGCCACATTCTTATCATTCTTCTCCCTTCTGGAGAATGAACTTTACTGTTTCTTAGAGTAGTTTAGCATTTTGTAGAACTATCTGAGAATGGTATAGGAGTTTAACTGACATAAATTTGTAACGCTGTTTTATGTGGGTTTTTTGGGAAGAAAATTTGTTACTTTCGTATTTCTGAAGGACATGAAAAGGATATTGTTCCTTTGTTTTAAGAGCTTAATAAATGTTTTGTAGCATAAATTTGACACCTTAATTGAAATATTATGCTGTCTATTCCTTTCCTATGCAAGCACAGACATTATTACAAAATTTAAATGTATGTGAAGAAACAAGTCACATAATTAGTTTTAGGCTTTCTGTTCTTTGTCATCTAACTATGAAAAGCGTTATTGTCCTCAATGGCAGTCTTGCATGTGTGACAATGGGGGGAAAAAGAGTTCAGACTGATGACCTGAGCCTTAATGACAGTTTGGATCTTTTCTTGTGTATAAAGTATTGGGGAAGTATGATGATAAAATTAGTTACGAAGCACCAGAGAGTATGCATCTTGTTTTTCTGTGTCATGGAAATAGGCTTAGCAACTTTTCTTCTTCTATCAGTGCAGTCGTATCTCATCCGTACACTTGCTTAGTCAAAGAGGTGTTTCATATATCAATGTACAAAATGAATTTTAAAAAATCTGATTAGTTTGCACTCTGTTTGAAGACCTTCTTAATGTTGGTATTGCTTACTTGAAAAGAGCATTTCCTTTTGTCTGTTTTTGAAAAATCATAATAGCAGTAGTTCGTAAGTGATTTTTTGATTTGGCTATTTTGTGGCAAAGTGAATTAAATTTACATTATTTAAAGGTATAATATGCAAAATTAGAAACAAGTTTTCATTGTCTATGCTTCAGAATTTTATCCTTATAACATCTTGAACTACAAGAGTAAGCATCCATGATGTCATTGCAGCTTTTTTTTTTTGCTAGAAAGTATTATTTCCTGCTTAATGTGTTGCTGAGTTTGTGGATTTGGACTTGGAATTGTCTCTATTCCTTCAACAGTATTACCACAATTCAGAGACTGTAGGTAAATTCAATTTTCTAGCAAAATAGCAGTTTGATGTTATATTCTGTGAAGTGGTGTTTTTCATATGTGGGGTGTTTTTTTCCACCCATCCACCCTGATTTTCACCTAGTGTCTGGGCAATCTGTGATGGCTTCTTGATACTCTGGAGAAGAAGTGAGGAGCTGTGTTTTCTGGGTAGCTCAGACCAAGCTATAGGAAAATCTACTGAATCTGAAGTGTAGAAGTCACTTCTGTCCATTTTGTGTGCCACACAGTGATTTCTTCTTGTATTCTTGGAACATGGACATCATTCATGATTCTTTGCTGGTCACTATTGGACTTGATCAGCAAACATGCTCAGAGAGCTCATTTTTTTTGCTGTTCATGGACATCATTGCTGTTTTTTTCCTAATCAAGTGCTAGCTTTTCTTCCAGAGTAAAGGAAAGAAAGGAGCATTCACCTAACTGCTTGTTCTCCAAATTAATGTCAAATGTCATTGCTAGTCTGCTTACAGGACATTCCAAAGGTGTTATGAGAATCTGGATATCGTGCTCTTGGGTATTCGAGAGCCTTTTCCTCAAAAAACGACCTGCTAAATTTCCTACTGTTATATGAATTGTTTTGTATTGTAAGCTACGTATCTAGAGGGCATTTATTGGGAAATGGCTTGGACCAGCATTAGTTTTTCAAACGCACTAAAGCATGAATGATTTTACATTGTGTTTAGAAAAAAATGGTTGATGTATCTAACATTTCTGTAGCTTGAAGCTCTCTTGTAGGCTTTCTTATCCCTGATGCATACAAGTAGTGCTTCATACAAATAAGCCCAGGCTTTCCCCTAGGAAGAGGATAATTAGCAGAGAGCATTAGGCAGCTACCCTCTAAATGACATGTCATCAAAACTATTTTCATGAAACTCACCTGCATCCTTTAAAAATAATGTTCATTTAAAGTAAATGATCAAATAACTTAGACCAGTTGAAAATTCTGTGCTGAAGCAGAAAGGCTCTTTGCCACACCAAGGGAGGAAGGAAGAAAAGAGCTTTGCCTTGGATGTTTGTACATTTGCTGATATGGTAGAAGGAGGGTTTCAGCTAGCCTGTATAGTATATGCATGCAAATGGAGTTGATGAATAGAAACCGTACAGAAATTGTGTATTGATGAGTGGTTTTTTGTTAAGACATTATTCTTGCTTCTGCATAGTCTAGACTATTACACAGCATCCTCAGAAAATTGATCTTGGGTTGGGCTAAGTAACTATGTGCAGCGTGCAGTCTGTGGAGGGGAATTTGTTATAAACGAACTCATCTTTAGTCATAAGTAATTCTGTTGTCAAACGGCTCAGTCTTATGGTCCTTGCCACTACCCTTCAGAATAGCAGCATTTTCGAATCTTAGCTTCCATCTGAAGACCAGAGGTTTGCCATTATATGGACCTAACGGTCTGTGACGGTGTTAATGAAACACTCTGAAATATTCAGAACACTAGTGTTAAAGAAATCTCTTTACCCTAGGTCTCCCGCAGCAGAGTCTCAGACTTCCGATCTTAGAAAAATAATTAATTTATTTGGATGGTACAGCAGAATGACAGCTCGAGCTGGGTACCTCCGGAGAGGGACCCCGAAACAAAGAAAACCTGGGTTTTTAAACCCTAACAATCTATGCACCCCCTCTCCATGCGCCCTTCACATGCCTTTCGGCCCAATGGTCAGTCTCTTCACGCGCTGTCCACGCACCTCTTGATCCAATGGTAATTCGTGGTCTGGGGGCTCAGCTCTTTCTCTTTGGTTCTCCGCCTCCGAACTCCTGATGGGCCATTCGTTGTCCTTATCTCAATGGTTTGCGGCTTCTGCTGACAAAGTTACCTCCTTATCTTCTTCCAGACCCCCCCATCGCCAAGCAACCAGGTCAGGATGAGTTTATGATATGTGACCTGGAGTTCTTTCTCCTGCTAACTAATGCTAACTGAAGTTATTCAGACAAAAGAATACATTTAAAAGATTAGAGTAGAATTAAAAAGTTAGGTTGATTAAACTTATTCTGTAACAATTAGTAGTGCATAGACCCTTAGAGTTTAGCAGCACTGTACTCTTTTCCATCTGATAGCAGGGAACAGTTAAGTTTGGAGTATGTATGTCCTTGTACATTTGATCTTCTGATGGTGGGGAGCCTATGAGATTTTTGTGTGATCAGTGCTACTTCTTAAAGCTGAGTTTCTTACATATGTTCATTGAGAGGGTGTACTTGAATATATGCTCCAGAAGTACTTGAATGGGAGAACAGAAGGCCTAGTGACTTTCCAAATTAGAAAATGCTGTGGAAAATTTGCCTTTTGGAGAATTTATTGCTGTTATTAGTAGCAAAGTTTACCAGTTTCCAAAAATACAGATGATAAGCCCTATCAATAATTCATTTCCATGATTGCTATTAAATCTAAAGCTTCTTAATTCCTAACATGTACACTAAACGTGGGATTTACACTGTTCTATTTGCTATTTGGTAGCATTATTTTTTTTTTTACTTTTGAAAATCCGATTACATTGAAGTAAAAGAAGATAACCTTTTACTTTCTTCCACAGATCCAGACTTTTAATGTTGAGGCACCATGCCAGACCGTGGAAGATTTAACGAATGGGGTTGTGATGGCCCAGGTTCTCCAAAAAATGTAAGAAATTGTTTGCTTAATGAATTAAACCCACACTGTTTTATTATCTATAAGTTTTTCTGTATTTAAATGTATTTTAGTTCGAACTCGGCTGGTGTTCCATAAGGATGTGGCTTTTCCTGTGCTTAGACAGTACTGCAGTCTGGAACATGACTAATATGTTTTTTTCCCTATAATTTTCAGACAACTATCTTAAATGCAAAAAAAAAAAAAAAATTGTTTAGGGAGGTATTTATTCAAGTGTGAGCTTACTGGAAAGTAAGTTGGGTTAAAAATAAGCTTACAAATTCAAACTTTTTGAAAAAGTTGGCACCAGTGCAACGTGAGGTGTTGGCCCAGGTCATTGTTTGAAACTATAGTCAGTATATCAGTAATGTTAGAATTAGTTTCATGCAACAAAGATTCTGTGATAAACTGAATGGAACTGTCAATTTAGTTGTTTGCAAAGATACTACGTTCTTGAAAGTAAGTGAAGGAATAATAGCTGTTACACTAGATAATGTTTTTGTTCTATTGATCTTTAAGATCAAATAGGATAAAATGTGTTAATCCCATTTTCACAGAAACACAACTTTTTATTGTTCATTAGAAACTTAAGCAGTATTTACCAAAGTCAGCAGTCCAAATTCAGCATGCCAGTTCCTACAGATGTATTTTTTTTAAAAAAATATATACTTTATTCCTTTTAATGTGAAGAGGGTACTGTCTTGAGTGTAAATGCAGAATAAAATGTTTTCTGTGTAATTTATTGAAAATGAACACTGGACATGTACAGAATATGCACAGCTTTCTGTTGGAGTTCTGGTTTGGGTCAAAATATCATAGAATAATTGAGATTGAGAGGTACCTCTGGAGTGTTAAATCCAACTTACCTGTTCAAAGCAGAGTCTGCTAGAGCAAGTTGCCCCGGGATTGTGTCCAGTCAGATTCTAAGTATATGGGAAGATGGAGACTCCACAGCCCCTCTGGGCCACTGGTTCCTGTACTAAATAACCCTCACAGTTTAAAAACAGAAAAAACAAAACAAAACACACACCCCTCCCCCCAAAAAAAACCCAAAACCAAACAAAAAACCAGAACAAAGGAGTCTGCTAGAGCAAGTTGCCCCGGGATTGTGTCCAGTCAGATTCTAAGTATATGGGAAGATGGAGACTCCACAGCCCCTCTGGGCTACTGGTTCCTGTACTAAATAACCCTCACAGTTTAAAAACAGAAAAAACAAAACAAAACACACACCCCTCCCCCCAAAAAAAACCCAAAACCAAACAAAAAACCAGAACAAAGCCAAGCAACCAAAACCAACCAAACCTGGGGGCATTTTTTTCTTTATGTTCAAATAGAAGTAGTTGTCTTTCAGATTATGTCCCCTACCTCTTGTCTGTTCACTGGACACCACTGGGGATATTATGTGGTGGTTTAAAGAAGAAGGCACTGTCAGGTATTTATATACAGGATTGATAAGAATTCACTGAGCCCTCTCTTCTTGAGGCTAAACAGACACAGCTCAGTCAGTCTCACCTCGTATGACAGATGCTTCAGTCTGTTAATCGTCTTAATCACCCTTCACTGAGCTTCCTTGTATGTCCAGGTCTCTGTCATACTGGGAAGCCGAGGACACAGCACTTCAGATGTTGTCTCACCAGAGCTGTGTAGTACCTCCCTTGGCTTGCTGACAATGCTCTTCCCAATGCAGCCAATGATGTGATTGGCCAGCTTTGCTACAAGGACGCATTGCTGGAATGTGTTCAGCTTGGTTTCTACCAAATTATTCTCTGCAGAGCTGCTTTCTGGCCAGTTGGCCCCTGGCATATACTTGTGCATGGGGTTTACACTTACCCTTGCTGAAATGCATAAGGTTCCTGTCAGTCCGTTTCTCCAGCCTGTTGAGGTCCTCCTTCCAAATGGCAGCCCAACTATTAGGTGCATCAAACACTCCTTCCAGTTTTGTATTATCTGAAAACTTCCACTCTCTTCCATCATCTAGGTCACTATTAAAGGTGTTTAATGGTATTGACCCCTTGCTTATGCTTCTAGCGGACTGGCCTCCAGCTGGACTTCATGTTGCTGCTCATAACCCGTGGTGCTGCTTATAACCCGTGGCGCCTGGCAGTTCAGCCATTTTTCAGCCCACCTCACTGTCCACTTAGCCAGGCCATGCTTCATCAGTTTGTCCATGATGATGTTATCCTGATGAGGTGGTCTCTAGCAGGCAGCTATGATGTCACCGATGTTGGTCTGCCTGGTCATCCTGGCCTGTCATCTTTCACCTGGCTCATCATCCATCCCAAGGCAGTGCTCATGTAGTCTTACTGCTCTCTCACATAAAGGGCATCTCCTTGTCACTGCCCTCACAGCTTGTTCTTCCTAAAGAGCCTGTATTCATTCACGGCAGCAACTATGTCGTGTTGAGCCATCCTGCTATGTCTTTGTGATCCCAGTGAGACAGTGGCATTGTAACTACACACAGAGCTCTGTTTCCTCCTGTTCTCCATGCTGCATGCATTAGTGCACAGGCACTTAATGTATGCATCCAATCTTGCACATTCCCAAGAATGAGAGCTTTCCCTGTAGTGTTTTTCTGTAGTACTTACCTTATTCATGTGCATGTGCTTGGAGTGACTCCACTTCAGCCTTGTTTTGCTGACTATAAGATATCTCTTGTTCATGTTGTCCCAGACCCTTTACTTGCCAACAGCCTCTGCTACTTTGTCACTTGGTGTTTGACTGTATTTTCCCTCCTCTATAGTTCCTTGTTTAAAACTGTTCTTACCAGGTTGGTCAGCCTGTTGATGAAGGTACTTCTGCCCACGATAGTCAGGTGGATCCTATCTTTTCCACGCAGTCCTTGATTCTCAAAGAGGATTCTATGGTCATAGAAACCAAAACCCTGCTGCCAACACCAGTTCACAGCTAGTTTTTGACCTGCAGGATTTCTCTGGTCCTCAAGCCCTTCCCATTAACTCGCGCAACTGGGGAGAGCACCACTTGAGCCTTGACCATACCTTCCAGAGCCACGTAATCACACTTGGTACTCTCCAGGTCTCCCTAGCTGTATAGCCGGTGCCCAGGTGGAAAAGCAGAAGGAATAGTAGTCTGAAGACTCTGAAGGAGTAATAGACAAGCTTTGGCAGTCTTGTAACAATGCCATGAATTCGAACCGCTAGCAAGCAGCAACCCTTCTTACATGATGAGTCAGTCAGAAGATGAGGGCCCTCCATCCCTTGCTAATGCTTGCGACTTCTCTCTTGTGCTGCTGTGTGGCTCAGGTTTACTGAACACGGGTGATTTGTTTGACAGAGCTCCTAGCCCCTAACTGCTGTGAGGGCACTGAATCTGCTCTGTAGTTGCAAATCCTCGGGTGGAGCAGGAGCCTTCCTCCTGTTAAAAGACAGAGCTGCCAGTTCACAGGAAGAAAAAAGGGGGAAAGAGGAAATCTCCATGCAGTCAAATATTTCAAGGGAATGCTTTTTAGCATGTGGAAAAGTGAGATCTGGAGCGAAGAATCCTAAAGGCTTAAAGTAGAGGCCAGTCTTTTTTTTCCTACCTGAAGCTTCAAAGAAGGTGTAAATGCTGCAAAGTTTCTTTCTGCACTTAATTTCTCCTTCTGTGAGGAAGATGAGACATCACTTACAAGAATTATCCAATCTTTACGTATTTTTGCATCACACAAAACTAATTTCAAGTAATGTCAGCAGTCCTCTGGCTTCAGAGTAATTGAAACATCTTTCTACTGTTTTAATGTATTTTGCTGGTACACAAAAGATGACAGAACACCTCCCCCCACAGTAGAAATGGATTTTCAAATCCAGTATATAAATCAGCTCACTTTTAGGTTTTCTGAAGTCTAAACATCAGGTTTACAAGTCTGAAGGTAAATACAGCATAAGTCAGACACTGTTCCTTTTTTTTTTAGGATTGGAAAGATACCATCCTTTTTTACCTACTGGAGTATAAAAAGGTGGTGACCATATAAATGGTGTGTTCAGTAAACTTTATAGTAAGTCAGGATTTCAGCATAATCATCTGTGAATCTGTTTTCAGAGCATTTAGAAAAATTGTAATATGACATACGCATTAAATATGTAATAGTGACATATTTAATATAGGTGTTTATCGGTCTTGAACTTCTGTAGTTCTTCTGTAGGTTCCGCTTAACTTAACTTAATGATGGGACAGCAATTGATAACTCTGTGTTTTCTTGATTGACTAGTTCAAAAACTAATCAGAATTTGCATCTAAAACATAATACACCTTGATACAAACCAAAACGAAACTTAAGTGTCAAAGGCCCCTCAATAGCCTTACTGACTATTTTAGCCTGGTACTACCATGACTTGAAACACTACCTTTCCCTCTGCATTGGTATTAAGAGAGGAAAACTGTTCTGAGGTGCTGTTCTCAGCTGATGAATGGATGTTTTAAAAGGACATGTAAAATACAAATACTGCATTTCTGTAGCGTGATTTTGAAATATTTCCTGTAGCAATTACCATACTGACACTGAATGTGGGAGTTCTTTAGTTTACCCAGTTTATATGTAAAGATCAGATAAGCAATTTAAACTTCTGTCTCTATGCCCAAGGTAGTAATTTGACAAAATTAGTATTTGACTGTCTTACTTCCTGATAGTTGTGCTTCAGATTTACCATTTTGCATACTTGTGTAGTGCATACATTGATTCTTATGCAGAATTTAGCAATAATATTGCTGAATCTTGACTGCATTCGTTTTGAGCTAAACTTTGAAGTGCAGCAGGAAGCTGATCTGGGCGTGTAGAACAGGACTGATAATGTATGAACAATTTTTGAGGGAAAATATTATTCCTTTTTTTTTGTGGTAAGAGCAGATGTTTCCAATTGATTTTTAAAGTAGTTACCAAGGGTTGCAGAATAACCAAACATTGTTTCCCTGGACAGGAGAGGTGGGAACATAGACCAAATCAATATTATCATATCATCAATATTATCATAAAACCTTTATCTTTGAATTTCAGGTTAAAGTACCATTGAATGGAATTCTCCAGTGTTAACTATATTATCTCAGAGGAAGAAATTTGGCCTATGCTTTAGCTTATCTTTTTTTGTGTTAGTCTTTAAGATTCACTGTTCATTTGTGTTCAGATGTGAAGGTTACTGATCCCTCTGACTAAGATTGGTATGAAATACAGTAGGATAAGATGCCTGTGCACAGCCAGTGTTGATGATTATTTTACAGAGTGCTGTACTCTGGGGCTAAAGATTGGAAGCAAAAGGAAATGTTTGAACTGTCTCTGAGTAGATTATCTACCTAAAATCATGTAGTGTATGCTGGTAGAGAAGATAGAAGTGCCATAGATTGCTTCTGAATTACATCCTCTTTTTCTTTTTTTTTGTAGCCTTCACTGATGTTACTCATGTTTTCACTGTCCATTGGTATCCCTAGAACAGCATAATTCCCTGTTTTATACTACAGTTTAAAATTTTTCTTTATTCCCACTCTGGAGACTCTTTAGTACCAGGTGTCCCTCTTGTTTTAATTCTTTCTTCGTCTGTCATACTGACCTTGGTAAATGTAAAGAGATGGTATGTATTTTCATTTGTCATTTATGTGTTGTGCCCCACTTGAATTATTCAATTGTTATACAGCATGCTGCAATGCATAATATATGTTTTGACACATGCAGAACACAAAAGCCATGCTTTTGTATATTGCTGGGGGAGGCAAATTTTTATAAACAGACATTTCTTAAAGCAGCTTACTGTACCACTGTTGAAATGAGTAATAATCATGAGTTATACTACATGCTCTGTGGGTTGATTTTCTTCAGAAGAATATTTCTGTCTCTTGGCATCTATAATGTGGAGAGATGATCGCTTAAATAAAGGAAAATTTGCATACAAAATAAGATGGAGATGGTATAAATGAGCACTGCTGAAAACAGTATCACATGAAGCGATACAGCATTAGCAACAACAAAAGTATCTTGTGCTCTGAAGAGAAGTCCCAGTTATCTGCAGTACTGTTCAGATACTAGGCAGCAATCAACTGATATACAAATATCTTTATAAACCTGGAAAATTATCCAGTGCAAGAGATTGTCCAATTTTGGACCTAGGCTCAGGATCTTAGCAAATTCAAAATACTTGGTTCAAACAAGTCATCTCATGGTAATGATGATGCTCCAGTCAGTTTTCTGCTGCCCTTGTTTAGTGCAGTACTTCTTCAAAATGGGCTGGTGGGTTTTGTAATCACAGCTGCTCGGTTCTCAACTACACATTTTCATATCTGCTTAGGTGATACTTTTTCAAATGCTGTTAGAAATGACAGCATCTTTCTTAATGACATGGACTAAGGAAGTTAAAGAACTCTGAATATGATTGAATCATGATTCCCAAAGATTCAGCAGAGGGACAATCTTGTTCAGCAAGGGCTGTGAATGACCTAATGCCTGGAAGCCCTTTTTAAAAAGTATTGGTAGAAATTCTAGTGGAAATTCTTTTATTTCAGATTTGATTTCCAGTAGTTTGATATAAAGAGAAGGCATTGCTGTTGGTATTAATTCTGAACTTTAATCAGACTTTCATGGACAGAAATGAAATTGTAACGTCACGCTAGGAATGATTCTGAGGTGGTTTATGGATGAGGAAAGATGATCATTCTAATTTTGCTTGGTGTTGATACCCAACCTGTTGATTTTTCTGCTTCTTGTATTCCTGGCAATTGTTTTTGCAATATGCTACTAAATATTGTGTAATGTGCATGGAGGTGCTGTAAAGAGAGTTGTTAGTACTATTCTGACCACTGTTACATGTTGAGTGATTTAGAGTGGATTCTTTATCAGCTGCTGGAACCTTGGCTACTTCCATGAGGTTTGTATACTTAAAAAGAAAAAACAAATGGGATCAGTGGGAGAGGACTACCACACTGAGTTTAGATATAGTTCATGGGCACTTTCCTTATATATATCTGATGACATATAGAAAGGTGTAGGTAGTCCATGACTTTCATCAAGATGATGAAGGCTGGTTGCTGGTCTCTGTGCTACCTTTGTTGCAGCAGTAGCGGAGAAAAGCTGCTTAGTTGCTATTGAAATACAGGCTTCCAGAGTGGAATGAGTTGGAGCTGACCCTGTAATCTCGTTACGCTTCCTCAGCTGATGCCCTTACTGTTGAAAATCAGGTATTGCAATATTAGCCATCCAATCATTTCAGATATAATTCTGCCTGTGGGCAGTTGTTTATGCTTACTCATGTTGCTTGTTTGAGTCATTATTTATGATGAAAATGGTAAGTCAGGAATTGATATATTCATGACTCTGCAGCCTTGAAGCAGCTGAAGATGTTAGTGACCAAGTGCAATCCTTAAAATGATAAGATACGGTCCTTAAGGAAGTCCCAATGGTTTTTTTTTTGCTGGTGAAGCACAGGTGATTAGGCATACCTCCTTTCTCACTCAGCTGCATAAACACTTTGTCATTGTGAGTCTGTTGTAAGGCTCACTTGGCTGTTGGCAATTCCCAGAAGAGCCATCTGAAAGATACTAGGGTGCTTTTTGAACTCCACACCTCAAATGGGATCAAGTGAGGCTACATGGGGCTTGAACTCTCATTTTTTTTTTATTACTGTCCGGATGATTTTGTTGTGATTGAGTGGAAGTTAGGCAAGCTCAGACTTTTTGCAAGGAGAGCCATTTATTTCATATAAAAGCTGAATGTGAGCCTTCTTCATCTCTTGTAGATCTTCTGTGTATTCAAATCAATTTCATTCTTAGGTGTACCTGTTTTCTGAGGGCAGAGAGGCTGTTTGAAAGCTATTTGAAAACATCTATTTCAAAACCAGATGAAACTCCGGATAAGACATTGCTTTTTCTGTTTCCTAGTTTAAGATTCTGTCATCTGTGCTAGAACTGCACTGTTTTTGAATGGGAGTGATTTGGAGTCATCAACTTAACTAGTAATTAAAGCTGTTCTTCAGCTATATGTTTGCGGATGCCGTGTCAGAGGAAAGGAAATACGCCGTAATCTTCACCAGAGTCTGTAACAGAATGTGCAAAATTAGCAAATGGAATGTGTCAGTAGAGGAACATTGCTGTTTGTGATCTCTCTCTATTGCTGTGTATTGTATCATGGGCTGCTTGCAGACCTTGATACGTTGTGAAGAAGACATTGGGGGGGGAAGATGGAGTACAGGAGATACTGTGCATCAGGTACAAAGTGTGGCTAAAAAATCTGTGCCCTAATATAAGTACTGATGCAGTTCCTGGTTTGCAGCATATATGATATAGATGTCATTTGAATCTCCAGATAGATTCAGAGTTTTGTTGAACTTTTGTCAAAAGATCTCATGGCATCTTGCCCTTAAAAAAAGAGCTCAGTCCAGAACCCTTTTATCTGTAGGGGGTACAGCAGTAAATCTAATAGTACTTGGTGGCAAATGCGGCAGTGTAATGCCAGAAATTGGAATACTTCATGTGAAACTCTAACCTGGCCTGCCACACTGAATCTTAAGAGCCTTGTGCTTACAAGAAAAGTTGTTTTTTTTCTCCTACTGTATTAACTTTATATGTTGGTTGACATATGAGCCTTTCGTTATATTATGTTGACCTACTCCTTTAAAACCAGTTATTTGTAGTGCATTCTCTCTCCTTAGTTCTGATCATAGCATTTTCAAAATTCTGTGTGATATAAGGAAAATTTAACTTAAGCAAACAGCAGAAAATGTTAGCCTTTTAGATGATCTTGGAACTTGGGGGCAAGAGAGTCATGGGTGTTGTCTTCAAGAAGCAATTTATGGAAGGTGCTTGTGAGGACAAGGAAGAGAGGGAAGAAGTTTATAGAACTGGAAGTATACTCTACAAGCAGTAGGTGTTCTGTTTTTTATCTTGATTGCCCGTCAAAAGTGCAGAAGGCAGAAGAACTTAAGGACAGGTGTAAACAAAAAGATTTGTTTAGGGTTACCATGAAAAGAGATTTGCAAAAACTAATAGTGTTTGGTAGATGAAATAATGCTGAAGTGTGTTCTCAGTAGTAAACGCTTCAGTGACAGTTTCTAACTCTTCTTCCTGTATAAAGATAACATAGGTACTGTTCACTCTCAAGCTTTCCCATTTAGAAGTTGAATAGTTGTAAGTGGTGATAGCAGTAGAGATCCATAATATGTAGAAAAGCAATAATTTTTTTAACACTTTCAAGTAATGCAAGCAAATATTGCTCCAGCACCAGCTGATAAATTAGAGGAAGAAGAACTTTGGGGGAAAAACTGACAAAATGCATTCCAAGTACAGCAGCTTCCTCAAAAGTGTTAGCTACTCATGCCACACAAATGAAGCTGTGCTGTCAACAGGGTGCAAGACCTTAAAAAAGTGAGTAGTAACAGGGTTCTGAACTCCTATATACAGGCCATGTGTCAGATACAGAGGTAGTCATCTAAATAACCTCAGCCTGAGATACGGGTTTAATCGCTCAGGTATCTTCACAGTTTCTACAACCTGTTTTTAATGAATACATTTTTTGTGTTTCAGAGATCCAGCTTACTTTGATGAAAACTGGCTGAACAGGATCAAAACAGAAGTAGGAGATAATTGGAGGCTAAAGGTATTTGACTTGCTTTACTTATCTCCGAATCTGTATTTCAATTCTTAATACAATATTGTATCTAAATATTAGCATATTTCTAGATTAATGCCTTGCTTTATAGTACAGCATTTTGAATTTTAGACCATTTTAGTTACATTTATTTGGGTTTTGTGTTGTTAGTCCTGCATGGTTTAGTGAAGAAAAGACATTTTGAGCTTGTAAATGGGTTTCAATAATTTAAAAGGACAACGTTAAAATAAATTTTATGCATCAATTATGTCTCTTTGCTTTTCAAATTTTGAATGAAAGATTTATTTAAAAACAAAGTGTTAAAGTAATAGTAAGAAAAGAAGAGCTCTGAGAAGCAGCTGCATAAAAATAGCAGAATAACAAACAATTTATTTAAATAAAAATGGCAAAGCGTTGCTTCCATTTACTTTGTCAGCTCTGCACAGCTACTGAGCTTTAGGAGTGGAAGTCTTGTTTTCTCTGTTTGTATTTAGCATGTTTTTTAGTCACGGTCTATTTGCTGGGTCATTTGTATCACTTGGTATTCCAGTACTTTCTCTGTAAACCTTAAGGCAATAGAATTTACAGTGCTACAGCTGAGAAGTGTTTTGGTTTTGTTCAGAGAGTAATACACGTACCTTTCTAAATCGCCGTTTCCAGCCTGACTACTTTGGGAAACAAAATAATGATGGCTGTCTATTAGTTCATGCTTCCTGTAAAACCATTTTGTTCTGGCCACCAAAAACCCTTCTGAGCATCTGGGGAAGGGCTACAACTGTGAAATGCTCTAGTACTTACAGGCTCATTAATAGCACTGACTGAATAGAAGGGACATGCAGATTAGTGCTGCCTGAGACAAGTGTGGAGCATACTGCTGCTATATATGTTTTGACTTGGCCAGTAGACCTGCCAGCACGGTCTCTGCTGCCTGGCTAGCTGTGTGCTAGTCTGGGCTGCTTTAGAATGGTTTGTGTACCAGGGCTGCCAGCAAAAATATGGGTTTGTTGATAAGGCTATATTGACTAGGTGGTGAATAAAAGATGGGACCCCTAAAAAAGCTTTGTTAGTCCTGCTGCTTGTAGAGCAGTTAATTCAAATAAACTTTTCAAAGAAGCATATGGACTTGCAAATGAACAGCTGGATACAAGTTTTTATTTTTCTCCAAAATATTTCTGTGGCTTTTTTCTAGGGAATATTGAAGTCTTGGCTGTTAAATTTGGAGAACAAAAAATTGAGAACTGTTTGTTGTAACAGTAGCATTTCAGCTGACTGAAAGCAGGGCAGCAGCTTTTTAACTCTCATGTGGAGCTTGAGGAATAAATTTTTTTTATGTCTCTCACCAGTATGGGAGATACTAAGGCTTAGGAGGTGTGAATAAAAAAAAACAGAACTGAGCAATCTAATAAGTTCCTTATTTGATTGAGGTTGAAAAAACATCAGGTCAAATTTCAGTTTCTTGCTGATGTCATTCCTTCTTGTTTTTCATATATCCATGTACATAAGAACTAAGGACTGATTATTTTTTTAAGAGATGGATACTCCAGCTTTTTGTATACGTTTTTTATATACCACTTCCCTTTTCATGAAGAATACTAAAAGGCACAAGTGTGATATTTTAACTCTTTATTTTGTAACCAGGAAAGTAATCCTATACTTTACCAACTGTTGTTCTTCTTTATATGTGAGTAAACACTGTTAGTAATCTACTTGTTTAAACATCTATCAGTCAATCCATCATTTATAATTTGGCTTGTACAAACACTTTCAATCTGTGCACTTCTATTCTTTTGTTGCTACATTTAAAATGTAGGCAACATACTTCTGAATGACTATCATGATTTAGGAGGTATGAGATAACCCATTTATCATTTCTCACGGTGGTTCTTAAAATATGAAGGGAAATATATGTGATAATGAGCTGAATTATATTCTTGTTGCTAAACGTCATTGCTCTTTTCTTCCGGTATCACGTGGTGTAACAGTCACCACTTGTACAAGGTCTAGGTATTATGAACCACATAAAGGAACCAGTCTAGTAGGGGAAATAAAAAACCAAACCAAAATGTAATGTGCACATAGTAGTTGTACTTTGTGGAACAGTGGTTGGGAGGGCCTGGTAGAGGTATGATACAGCCCTCCTAACCAATGTTGAAAGACATACTCAGAAAGTCATGCAATTGTTAACTTTGAATTGGGTGCTGTCCTGTATGGGGAATAAATAAGAATATATGGCTCAGCTTTCATTATTTCTTTTTTAATTCAGCAGTTGATTTTCTGATAACTGCAAGAATGCAGTCTTATTAAAAATATTTTTCCTGTTGCTGTACCAATTTAAAAGAAATGTATAAATTCACAGGGATGTTGTTACATGCTTGGTTTCAGGGCAGGTTGTTTGACTTGAGATATTGAGCAATGCACAGGATAGAAAAAGGGAAATGTTGGAACTCAGGGGACTTGCAAAGTAGGAAGCATTCACCAACCATTCTCTGTATTACAACTGACCAGATCTTTGTTTACTGTGTTTAGAAGAGAAACGTGTTGTTATTTCTTTGGGGTTAAAATTTCTGGGGCACAGTGTACATGGATGTATATAGCATTTTATATTTTTCCTTGGGCAACAAAAGACCCCTACTTCTTAACTGCTGCCTTAACTGCAATTTTATATTGTGTTAACAATAAAAACCAATGTGGCAAGGACATATCTCTTTCCTGAAGTACAACTGAATGCTTTAATGTAGTCAGAGTTTGAACTGTGTGCACACTGGTAGTATGTCATGCTGAAGAAGAAGGCATTTGAAGATGAAATGGCATTTATTTAAAATGGCAAACAGCATAGAAGATAAATCTGTTGCCAAAATTTTGCAGGAATGAAATGCCCTAATCAAGAAACAAGGACAGTTCAATGTCAAGTCATACAGGAATACCAGTAACAGAACAGAAGTTTGGACAGTTAATGATTTCATACACACATGTCAATTTTGGCAATTGTGGATTAAGTTATTGACTGTCTGAGGAATGGGACAAAACTGATACCCTCCCCCCTGCCCCTTCCATTCAGTGCCTAGGTTGGGAAAGGAAGGAAATACATTGTTCAGCTTGATTTCTGATTTTTCTTCTTCTGGACTTTTCGTTTTGGCATTCAGACTACAGCATCAGTTTAAAGTACAATTTTATCAATGTTTATGGTAGCAAGCTGTGTTTATTCCATTCCTGAATAGCATTTGCAAACAATAGGAGCCACTGGGCTTTCTGCAACTAGTACGGTTTGGATATCTTGTGTTTGATACAACTTTGCAAAATGGAATAACCAATGAAATTAGAGCACAGACTGCTTAGTGCTGTAATCTAAGTAAACAAACCTGATTTCAGAGAATGAATTTTGACTCCCTGCAGTACTACAGTTATGTTTGCTCTGAATTCTTCTACAGTACAAGCTGGGTTGACTGGTGGAGTAATGGAAGCCTAGTTTTCAGTGTACAGTATTGTCTTTCTGCTACCTTCTTGTTCCTTTGAGAGACAAGGGAGTACTTATTCATGAGCAGCCTTTTAGAGCATTTTTTTTCTGTTAAGGGTAGAAGCCGGTCATGTGAATGTTTTTCTGCAAGTAAGAAGCAGAGATTTTAGGTGTATTGTAAGCTAGCATTCATTTCTATCAAAAAGATAATTAGCAACTGATATATTTAATTCCATTTCGATATACCATCTCCAACACCATCTCCAAATAAAAGTTTAATGTGAGAATGCTCTCTGTGCTCAGAGCCATATTTAATTTTTTTTTTCTTGTCATTTAACTCAAGGAAGTGCCTGTATCTGTTCTTTTGGGGATTTCTTTTTGCAAAAGACAGGTTAGAAGGGGATAACCCCCAAAGCTAGTGGTATAGTCTTTCTCTAAGCTCCCTTTATAATCAGTGAAGAGACAAGCTCCCACAGAATGCAGTTTAGAGCAGAAACCTAATGCATGCGGTGGGAATGATGCATGCACACTCTCCCTCCCCTCTTCCCTGCCCCCACCCCCCTGTCCCCTTTTAAGTGCAACTGAGAAGAATATGTACCTTGATGAGATATCTGAAACTGATTAAGAATTCTCTCACCACTTACAAGTGTGCCCTAGCAACACTTCCAGAGGTTATAATGTTCTTAGTTATAACCTGTGTGAGGGGAAATAGGTCTGTGCATAATTACCCAGGAAATGCTATTGCACAGCATTTCAGAACATTGGGGTTCCCATTCGGATGCTTTAGGACCTGAAAAGTACAAGGATAACATGATTTACACAGAGTTCTCAGCACAAACATGATTTCAGTCATGCATAATGAGATATTGCATGTAAACTTAGCCGTGCTAGGTTTATGGTTGGACTCGACAATCTTAAAGGTCCTTTCCAACCTAAATGATTCAATGATTCTATGTGATATAAGGATAAATGCAAAATTGGGAACTGGCTGTCATGATGTTAGAGAGAAAACAAGAGGTTAGATAACCCATGTTCCCTTTTGTCAGCAATCACAAGCTTAAGGGCATTTCTACTATATCAGGCTTTCCTTTTTGCTCAAGTATATTCATAAAGAGAGAAATCCAGACCGACTACCTTTACGGACCCTCAGTTTGGAACCAGTAAGTAAATTGTAATTAAATAAAAATAGAGCTTTCATATGACAGGTGAGGAAAAAAAAAAGGTGAGGGGAGGGGGAGAAAAAACCTGCAAACATTAAGTCATATGATGTTGCCAGATGATGTGTTGCCTTCAGTAACCCAGAGCACATAATCTCTACTTTCATTCCAGTCAGTTTATCAGGTTAATACAGTGTAATAAGGGTCAGTCTCGTACTGAACAGTGTGTGCTAACTGTGTAGTACTATACTACAGCCAAGATGGCTGTAAACTGAGAGGGTAATGAATGTTTAACATAAGGAACATCCACACAGCTCTGCTGTGTTTATTGGTGAAATCTAGGTGTTCAGAGAATTAATGATAACATGCAGGTGTCCTTTCCTTGGTAATATGAGATT